CGTGTATCCCCCCTGGCGGGGCCCCGGCGCAGGCCGAGCGAGTAGGAGCGGGAGGGAGGAGCAGCCGGGGCCGCGGGGCGCGGAGCCGTGCGCGTGCGCGTGAGCTGAGCGGCCTCGTTTCCTCAAGTGCGCGTGTGCGCGCGGGGGGTGCTGGACGTCAGAAATCGGCGCGAGGGCTGCGGCGGAGCGCGCGGCCGCCCCGAGCGCGCCCGGAACCCGAGGGCGTGTCGGGGAAGCGGTGTCTGCCGCACGCGGCGCGTTGCCTGGAAACCCGACGCAGAACCCGGAGAACGGGCCGCGGGGCGTGTTTTCAAACTCCCGCGCGCCTAGTTGCGTTTGCCGCAGGGCAGTCTCCCAGATTACCGCTGATTCCCAGGAGTGCTTGATTTTTACATTTGGGGCCTTAAAGAAAGCAGTTTTAAAAGTTCACTGTTCCCCCCACGCATTCACCCACGTGTATTTGTCAAGGTGCCTTAAGTGCTTCGTTTAAAGAAAGCGGTTTTAACATACCGCTGTGTTTTCTGCATTCATTTACCCGCATGTTTGTCAAGATGCTGTATTTTTGCATTGTAGTATTGAGGTTTTCTACCAGCCACTTAAATTCTCAGCGCGGACGCAAGGCTGTGCTCGTTTTCGTGAGCACTGTACAGGGAGTGCCAGACCATTTGTGCACGCAGGAACGCTTGGGCTGAAGTAACGTAGTCAAATTACTGTGCATGCCTGACCAGAAAAGACCGAGAGATTAATAAGTAGGTGGACAAAGTTTTGGGAAGTGAGTCATCTCTTGAATGGTATCTATTATTTATACTGTTAGAAATAGGGAAGAGAATCTTTCCCCCACCTTTCTAGTTAATACTTCCCCATCGTCCGTGATAAGTGGTGATAACTAATCATTGACTGTGTTTCTGTAGAACATCAGCACTGGGATGGCCATAGCTGGAGTACTGTTATTTCTAAGAAGTGTTCGACTGGTGAGTTAAGAAATGGAAAAGGCCATACGCAGTTCATTTATTCTAAAAAGACAGTTTTTATCTCAAGCAGTGTGTCACTTTGCTCTTCAAATGTGATGCTTTTAAACAGTATTTTAGAATAATGAATACATTTTAAGATCTTGGCTTTAAAGTAACATGAAAAGAAAGTAAATGTACAGGGTGTATTTCCATAATCGCTTTTTTCATATTTAAAAATTAATCTGCAAAAGATTTATGCTAGAATGTTGTAATAACTAAATTTGCATTTCAGACATTGTGGAATACCTCAAAAGTGCTTTTTTATGGTGCTTTTGGATTTGGATCACAGTTTAATTATGTCCCTTAGCCCTGAGTAATTTATACTTTGATTAGTGGGGAGTGGGTTTCATTCTTTCAATAATGTTTTAATAATAGGTGTACATTTCCACTTGTAAGATTTCTTGTAAGTCAAGAATTCCGTGTTTTATTTTTTAGTTTTTTTATGGTGGTAAAATACACATAACATAAAATTCCCCATTTTAAGCGAGGCATGGTGGCGCACACCTGTAATCCCAACACTCAGGAGGCTGAGGCAAGAGAATCATTGGGAGTTCGAGACCAGCCTGGGCTGCAAAGTGAGCTCAAGGCCAACTTGAACTGGATAGCAAGACCCTGTCTCAAAAAGACAAAAATAAAAACCATTTTAATCATTTTTAAGTGTACATAAAGTTCATCTCTATTAGATTTATTTTTACTGTCCTATCAGGATCAGCACTCTCCATCTCCAGAGCTCTATTCGTTTTGCAGAACTGAAACTCTATCCCTATTAAACAGTAACTCTCCTGTTTTCCTTCCTCTCAGCCCCTGCCAGCCATTATCCCTTTTTCTATCTGTCTGACTTTGATTGCTGTAGCTACTCTCTCTTATAAGTGGAATCATATTTCTAAGTATTATTTAAAACGCACTTCATATTTCTTTTTTTTTTCCTGAAAGCTGTCCTTTTTTTTTTTTTTTTCTTGTGTAATACATGAGATTAAACTCAGGAACTTTGTAGTGTGGGATTCTGAGTTCTCTAGGAGGCTGAGGCAGGAGGATTACAAATTTGAGCCCAACCTGGGCAATTAGTGACTATATCAAAATTTAAAAAAAAAAAATGGTACAGGTATGTAGCTTAGTGTGAAGTCAGAAGTCATGCATTGTAACCAATTGTATGTTTCATTAGTCTGTTTTAATCTAGAATATTACTTCTACTTTTTTCTTTCAATTTTTGTCCATATTGACATTTTGGGACTCAAGGCCACACTTGTAGAATATTTCAAAATCAGAATTGTCTGTTTCCTTATTAAATTAGCATAAACATTTTGGCAAGAAGATGATGTTATATGCTTCCTACTTAATTGTATCAAGATTCATAGTGTCAGTATGTGTTATAATGTTATCACACCTAAGAAAATTAACAGTTATCTCTTAGTATCAGCGAAGACCCATTCCACATCCAGATTTTCTTGATTGTCACAGTGGTATCTTTAAATAAATGATCTGTTCAGATCAGAATTCCAACTGTCTATATATATATTTTGTTATATTTTTATATGTCCTTTATTCATTTATAGCACACATAAAACCCTTTCTCCCTCAAGCTGTTGATTTGCTAGAGAAACTTAAAGCATTTATCCCATAATGTGTTTCATATTCTAGATGTCTACATTATAGTATTTATTTTTACTAAGTTTATTTGAAAAAAGAAAAGTGAAGAGCGAGGGAGAAACTGGCTGTGCAGAGTGCGCTTGGGCGGAGTAAAAGAGGAAGAAGCAAGAAAAAGTACACCCTGGAGGACCCAGGGCGGGAGATTGTGAGGAGACCCACAATAGCCTGCATTATTACTTTTTAAAAAACGTTCCGTTCGGCTTTATGCCTTAGGTGGTTAGGTACTAATTTGTCCTTCTGTTATGTGACTTTTTAACCAACTGTGGTTATGAATGAAGTTTGTTGTATTATTAATATGGAAGAAGCACACATAAAGTATGGACTAACCACCTCAGTGTTAGGGATTGAAGTAAATTCCCAATATTGGCCCTTTTTTCTTTTTAAAATTTTGCCTTTTTCTTCTAAAGGATTGAGAGGAAAATGAAAAAAAAATCTTTTTGGTTGAGGATATAATTCAATTTGTCTCAGTTTTGTTTGGATTTTAGGTTTACTATATCATATATAGTAGCTTAAAATAGCAAAATCGTGAATGATGACTTTTTTCTGTTCTTTTTTTCTTGTGTGAATGCCTTCTAACTATTCCTAAAAACACTTTAGATTAAATCATATAAAAGTACTAATACAAAATAAAGAATCAAATTAAAATTTTTCAATGATTTTTTTTCTTGTTTTGATTTTTGTATTTATGTTTTGCAGTGCTAAGAGTAGAATCCAGGGCCTCATGCGTACTAGGCAAGCACTACCACAGAGCTACTTCCCCAGCCAAGTTATGTCTTGTTAGTGTATAGTTAACTGTCACATTTTTCATTCCAAAGGAAAATAATGGCACATGCTTATGTTTTTCTCCTTATACATCTGTAGACGTCCAAATTTACAAGATCTTCAGATATTCCTGCAGAATTTATAAGAAAGAGTGTTAAATTACGTGGACGATTACACCGGATAACTGAGAATGGCTTAGAAATTGAACATATTCCCATTACTTTACCCATTATATCTTCATGGAGAAGTAAGTAAGATGCAAAAATAATAAGGCTGTTACTGTTATTACTGTTACAGTAAATAACTGTATTACTTATAAAATTGCAAAAAACGGTGTTTTGAATTCCTCATTTGTCTGTGAGCGAAACCCTGAGCCCTTGTGTAGCAGGAACTGTTTAGTTTGGCTTCGGGGTTTCTTTCTTCCTCCCTCCCTCTTTTTAAATTCAACTGCTCAGTCTTTCAGGCATTTAGCTGTCCTTCCCACAAATGCTGACCCATTTTTTTTAATCCCTTTGAGATGAGATCTCCAGTCCAGGCTGGTCTTGAACTCACCGTACTCCTGCCTCAGCCTCCTGACTGACTTTGACTGCCTGTTATAGCCTCAGTGATGGTGAACCTTTAAAGCTTTCCACGATACAAACAGCCTGGTGTGGCATGCCTGTCACCTGAATAAACAGATAAGGCTCCTCTACCCTTGGGAGCACTGATCTCAGTAGAAGATAAAAAACAGGTGAAAAATTGCTCTGAGAGCTTTGAAGAAAAGGAACAACGTCCTAAGATAGAGAATTGTTGGGAATTTAGTCAAGAGTAGACAAATACACATGAGGTATAATCAGATATGATACGGTGAATATTTAGATTGTTTTTAATTCATTACGTTAAAAGCCACATTGCCATTGCTTCCCCTCAGAGTTCTCCCCCCATTTTGAACGTATGTAGCCCACTATTCTTACCACTTTTTGAAGCAGTCTTAGAAGTCCTCTTTTATTTGTGTCTTTATGAAGTATGATCAGAAATATGGTGAATGCTTCTGCCAAGTGCCATCTGACAGAAAGGCAAACTCAAAAATAGTACAGTGGGTCCTCATTCACCCTGTTCACTGGATCTGACCCTTACGACTTACGGCTTTTTCGCAGAGTCAAAATGACCATGAGAGGTAAGTGTTTGGAATCAATTTGGGACATTGTGGCAAGCACAATTCCACAACTAAAAAGACACTCTTGAAAGAGGACTTCTAGAACCTCCTCAGAAAGTGGCAGGATCAGTGCGATGAGTGTGTTTGGGGGGACTTTGAGGGGGATTAATGACAACGTGTCTTTTACAATAACAAATTTTAAAAAGTAAATGGCTCTCATGTCTCTTCACAGTAGCCCACCGGTCTTGGTTACTTTTCTTTCATTCCTGAGACAAAATATCTGATGCCCAAAATTAAGGAAGGAAAGGTTTATTATTTTTTTTAATTTTTTTTTTTATTTTTTTGGTTTTTCTCTGGTACCGGGAACTGAACTCACCACCTTGCGCTTGCCAGGCAGGTGCTTTTGCCTCTGAGCTAAACCCCCAGCCCCTGGAAAGGTTTATTTAGCTCACTGTTTGTCGAGGTTTCAGTCCATAGTCGGCTGGCTCCAAGGCAGGGTGGCACATGGCAGAGAACAACAGTTCATGGTGGTGGAAGATAGCAAAGGCAACAAGAGCAAACGGGAGGGGCGGCAGAGGGAAGCAGCCTCTTTCCCTCCCTTACAGTGTATGCAAACTACCCACTCCAGGGCAGGTGTAGCACTCACATCCATAATTCCAACATTGGACCATGAATCCATCATAAACTCTAAAAGCTTTCCCCATGACTGCATTTGGCTTTGGGGAGACATCCAGACACAAACCATAGCTTTCCACCCCTGGCCCCCGAAAGACTCACGTACATCCCTTTATGCAGAAGAAATTTTAGTCCATCTCTAAGAATTGCCAAATTCCTAACAGTTTCAGCATTGCTGAAAAGTCCAAGCCCCAAGTCTCCTCTGAGGTGTAAGGCAAACTCTTAGCTATGAGCCCCTGCACAAATGAAAAGTTAAAACAATTCCAACAATGGCACAATGGCACAAAATAAACATTACCATTCCAAAAAGTACAAACAGGGATATAGAACATTGGGACCAAAGCAAGTCCAAAATCCTGCAGGGCAAACATCAAGTCCTGTAATTCCTCATCCAGCATCTGAAGCAACTTGCGGCACATTATGAGCTCCAAAGGATTTGAGTGACTGCACCCCTATGGCACTTCTGGTGGTTACAGCTTCCATATCTTCTCTCTTAGGCCCGCTTTGCTCCCTCCTTGCACCTTTCCTTAGACAGTCCACGTTTCTGGCTTTTCCAAACTTCTGAGCTCTCCACTGAACCTCTGGCTTCTCACTCACAGCTTCACACACGGTCTTCGCAGCGGCACACATGCCTGGCCTCCTAGGCCTTTTGAAATCTAGAGGGAAGCCTTCTTAACCTCAGAACTCTTGCATTCTGTATGCACCTAAAACCAGGGCCATGTAGATGATGCCAAGGTCTGGGCCACCTGGTACAGTAACCAGGCTTTCCCCTCTCTTGGCTGTAGGGGTTGAGTGCTTGGATGGTTGAGTACTCTGAACCTGATTCTGAGGAACAGATTCTCTATGCTGCCTCCATTCTGGAACCTGGTGCAGCCACTGCCACCATTCTGGAACATGGTGCTCTGTGGCTTTCTTCTCAAAGCAATCTTTCACCTTTGCGTTCTGAGGCTGCAAAGGATAGAGACTCGCTGCTTCCTGTGATGCCCTCAGGCCATCTTTTATATTCTGTTCTTTCTCGGCAATGGAGAGCTCTTCAGCTCTATCTTTGTAGTCCACAGCTTTATTGGAGCTTTTTTCCTGGCCAAACTCACAACATTTTAGATCATCTTGCTAGGCTCTTTGTTCTTGATTCTCAATATAAATATGGCTAAAAGCCCCCAACGATAGCCATTCCACATTCGACTGCCTTGAAATTTCTTCTGCCGGATGAATTAGTCCACCATGCTTAATCACAGTTTTAGGCAAAGTCTGTGGACAGAAGCAAAATGTGGACAAAATTTCTGCCAAGCCATAACACACGTCATGTGGAGTCCAACAACCAGCAGTCCTTCCCAGCAGAAACATCCTGAACCCAGTCTTTACTGGCACAATTTCTATCAGCCTTCTGGTCTCCTGAAATCTGACCAGAATATCCCATAAAGAACAGCCGAAGGCATTTCAGCACTTCTCTTTCAGGCGACATCTCCTAACCTTTCCAAACACTTCCCATAAGCCATTTCCAAAGGCTCGTGAACCACATGGTCAGGTAGTCACAGCAGTGACCTCACTCCTCTGGTACCAAATTCTGTCTTGGTTACTTTTCTATCAGTTGCTGGGACAAAATACCCAATGCCCCAAATTAAGGAGGGAAAGGTTTATTTAACTCACAGCTTGTGGAGATTTCAGTCCATACTTGACTGGCTCCAAGGCAGAGTGGCACATGGTGGAGGGCAGCAGTTCATGGCAGCAAAGAAGATAGCAAAAGCAGCCACAGCCAAAGGGAGGGGCAGCAGAGGGAAGCAGCCTCTTTCCCTCCCTTACATTGTATGCAAGCTACCTGCCCCAGGGCGAGTATAGCACTCACATCCATAATTCCAACATTGGATCATGAATCAATGATAAACTCTAAAAGCCTGCCCCATGACTGCATGAGGCTTTGGGGGGACATCCAGACACAAACCATAACACTACCTTATGCCTTTAGAGTGTATATTTTTGTCCCATTTTCCTACTTTTACTCATGTCAAGCTCATTCTGCAGAGCCTGTTTTATCCTTCCTTTAATAAATGTGAAACTGCCACCGTTTAAAAATAACGATTATCAACATTCACCATATTTTTTGATCACACCCCCTAGAGAGTAGTCGGAAAAGACCTCATTGAGGAACTGCTGCTTACTTGTAGACTCAAAGAATTAGAAGGGCTAGATAGAAAGAGCAGAGGTGGAAACATGCCTGTGGGCCTGCACTCGGGAGGCTGAGACAGAGATTTCTTGAGCCAAGGATTTAAAGGCTAGCCTGAGCAATGAGGCAAGACCCTATCTCCTAAAAGCAAATAAATAAAATGAAATCCTGTCATTAAAGTTAAATTGCTTAAACTTTTATGAAGGATTTGGGGAAATAGATCTTCATACTATATTACCTTGAATATAAATTGGTAAAGTCTTGACTAGAAGTCATTTCACAAGATGTTTAAAAAAGTAGTAATGGTTTTTATCATGTATAAGAAAATAATGTTATTTTGTATAAAAAAGCAGTAATATAATAATTAGAATAATAATGTAGTCGGTATTTTTTGACATGGGCTATTTTTTCTCATTTAGATGAGAAAGCAATTTCTATAGTTCTGGTAGTAGTAACCCCTTTATTTAAGTATATGTGTATAACTTTACATGTATATGTATAGGAACAAATCTAGAAGGTTGAAAAAAAGTTAAGTTGGTTAAATCTCTTTTCCTGTGCCACAGCTACAGAAATGGCCTTTTGAAATTACTCCATGTGTTATATGCTTATATTGTTTAAAAGGAAATCTTGACTATAACAATGAGACCGAGCATGATGGTACATGCCTGTAATCCCAGTACTGTGGGAGGCTGAGGCAAGAGGTTCACAAGTTCAAGCCCAGCCTGGGTAGCCTGCTGACTTAGTAAGACCCTGCTCAAAATAAAAAAAGAATCGGGATGTAGTAGCTCACTACAAAAGCCCTGGATTTAATTCCCAGTATTGCACACACACCCTGAAAAAAAGGAAGGAAAAGAAAGCAACAGACCTATATTTAGACAGTATTTATAAATAGACATAATATGTTGGATTTTTTGGTGGTGGGGGTAAAAATGGCTTTAGAATTTTGCTTTTTTTTTTTTTTTTTTGTCTTTTTGAGACGGCCTCCGTATGCAGTTCGGGCTGGCCTTGAACTCACTTTGTAGCCTAGACTGGTCTCGAAGTAGCGGTGATCTTCCTGCCTCAACCTCCAGAGTGCTGGGAATACAGGAGTGTGCCACCATGCCCAGCTAGAATTTGCTTTTGCAACATGTTCTTAAAGCTAACCTCTTGTCTACCTGACCTTTTTAGAAGAGCCATATGGTGTTTTGCTGGTTCAGCTGGCTGGAGTAGAACTCACTGAAAGTGGGAAGGTATGGTTACAAAAAGAGCTCAAACCTTCCCAACTACTATGGTTCCAACTTCTCGGAAAGGAGAATTCAGTACTCTTTTGCCACCTTTTAGTGAATAAGGTAAGTAGTGCGAAGAAATAACTAACGATCCTTTATTTTTACATTTAAATACAGTATTTAATTAGAACTTTAAATATAGGATGCTGAATTTTTTGGTTTTTAAAACTACTACTAATAAAGATTATATAGAGAAAACAAGGTGCTTAGTATATAAATTTTGTTATAAAATTTTAGCTGTATATCTAATACATGTTTATTACAGAAGTTTGTGAAAAAGAAACAATCTTCTCAGTACTAAAGACTGGGCATTGCTAATTTAAGGACTCTCTTTATGCACTGATGTATGCGCAGGTAGAGCCGGTCACACTTGTTGGTAGGGACCGCTTGTGGAGTGAGGCTTGTCACCTGGAAACTACGACGAGCAAGGGTGTTTTCTGTAGGTAGAGACCTTGGTCAGCCTGGTCTAATACCCTGTGTGTCAAACAGTTCATATTCAGGAACTGCAAAATAAAAGGAACTCTGTGTGGGATCTTAGGAGTTGCCATTTAAGACACCAATTCAGATATCTCTAAATCCAAAGGCAGCAGGGAAATGGGAACTTGTATTGAGCAACCTGTTGATTTATTACAAGGTAGTAAATATCCTGTTACAGGAAACTTCTGTTGGAGTTAAGAACAGGTGCTGTGTACAGGGGTTGTGTAACCCAGAGAAGATTATAAAAAAATTGTGCTTGGCATGATGTAATCCCAGCAGTTTGGGCGGCTGAGGCAGGAGGATCACAAGTTCAAGGCCAGCCTAGGAAACAGTGAGACTATCTAAAACTAAAAAAGGGCTGAGAATGTAGCTCAGGTTTAGAGTGCTGCCCTTGGGTTAGATCCCCAGTATCATGAAAAAGAAGACGGAGGGTTGGGAGGGGGAGGAGGAGACCAGTAACCTCTCGATGTGTGCCTGAGTCTGGGCACATGTGACAGTTACCCATTCGAGCTGCCTGAAGTCAGGCAGAGACCAAAGTCACCTTCCTAGATCGCAGCAGGAGTCATGCTGGAGTCATTCTGCTGTGACTGCCTCCAGACCCCATTTTGAAGGGCTCTTTTCCTGTTGTTTTTAATCATGATTTTCTTTTCACAGTTGATAAAGATGCCGTAGTTTATAAGTCTTTTCAGTTGAGTCTTGCTTAGTTGTTAAGTTGCCCAGGGTGCACTTGAACTTGGCAATCCCCTTGTCTTGGCTGCCCTTTGTGGGGATTATGGGTGTGTACCACCGTCCCTGGCTGTGACTTCCTTTTTTTAAAAAGACAAGCTGGGTATGGTGTAATCCCAACACTTGGGAAGCTGAGACAGGAGGATCACTTGGAGTTCAAGGCCAGCCTGGGCTGCATAGTGAGTTCAAGGCCAGACCAAACTATATAGTGAGACCCTGAGAAAAAACACAAACAAAAGACAAAAATGCACTATATGAATTATATCTGGGCTGATTTTTAACTATGTTAAAATCTGTGTATTTGGGTGATTACTGAAATGGCAATATAGAAAAATGAAATGGTTAAAATACTGTGATAAGATTGAGAGCAGTCTTTCCTTCTGTTTAATTTTTTTAACAAACAATAATCTGAAGGAAAAAAACTCATATTAAATGATTAGAATTTTCTTTCTTTCTTTTTGGTCTTTTTGAGATAGGGTTTTACTCTGGTTCAGACTGGCCTTGAACTCACTTTGTAACCCAGGCTGACCTCACACTTGCAGTGATCCTCCTGCCTCAGCCTCCCTAGTTCTGGGATTACAAGTACACCACCATGCCTGGCCAGAATTTTAATTCTTTAAAACTTTGAATTATTAATAGGAAGTCTAATGAAATTATTAATTTTTGTATGTTCGATCATATTCAGTTTTTAAAAATAAGAATTACTCAAAACTAATTGGCTGAAAGTTTAAAATAATTTTATCATACCACATTATATAAAATATCCCAAAACCCTTATAAAAATATTAGGTTCTCTTTTAAGTTGAAGAGTAACGATTATCGAAAAAGATGCTGATTATAGCCATGAAGATAATATAATATTTTGAATGTCTGCTATGTGCCAGACACTGAGCTAAATACTATACTTACATTACCTCATTTATCCTCAAACCCACCCGGTGGAGTTGTATCCCATTTACAGGAGGAACTGATAGGAAAGAAAATTGCTTTGGCCAGAGGAACTGAGTGGAAGAGAGCCTGTATCTCAGCCCAGCTATTGCTGGCTTCCAAGCCCACCTTCCTCGTAGATACCTTTACCTTATATCACTTCCTAGGTTAACAAACCATGCTGTATGCTTATTTGTGAATTTATTTCTCCCATTTGAATTTAATGAATGTGCGGCACTGAAATTTTTATTCTGATTTTGGTTCAAGAGAAAGAGCTCATGCAGTTTCAAAAATTGAGACTAATATGATGAAGCTTTCATAACTGTTATTAGCCTTTTATAACTTTGTCATCTATCAAAAATTACTGTATTTAGAGGAACAAAATTTGTTTACTTAAGAATCTTTTTAAAAGATTATTCTGTGCTTTTACATGGTCTTAGAAAATGTTTCCTAGGTTAAGTGTGGAATTGTCTCATTTTTAGAACTTAGCTGTGAATCACTGGTCTATACTATGAATTAGTGGGGGGAAATTCCAATTATCTACTTCCATTCGGAAGTGGGTTGTTCCTGGAGTGAAATTCCCAGGAGGATGAAGATTGAAGAGCCAGGACTGTTTTTATGTTAATTATTTTGAGGGAGGGCCATTAGAAAGGTATTTACCTGCCAGTGCCCTCCAAGACACTAGAATTCTGAACCTAATTTTATTTATTTTATTTTATTTTTTGGGTTTTTTCTGGTACTGGGAATTAAACTCGCGACCTCGACCTCGCGCTTGCCAGGCAGGCACTGTGCCGCTGAGCTAAATCCCCAGCCCCTGAACCTAATTTTTTTTGGGGGGGTGGGTACTTGTACTGGGAATCGAACTCACGACCTTGTGCTTCCCATACAGGCGCTATGCCACTGAGCTAAATCTCCAGCCCTAATATTTCTGTTTGTTTTTTGTTTTTTGTTTTTTTTTTGTGTATGTGTTTGTTTTTGTTCCAGTACCAGGAATTGAACTCACGACCTTGCGCTTGCAAGGCAGGTGCTGTGTCCCTGAGCTAAATCTCCAGCCCCCCGCCCCCGAACCTAATTTTAACAGTTCATTTTGTGTCTGTCCATTTTTTCTCTTTTTTCCTTCCTTTGCTTTACTCTTCAACTCTCTTTTTTACTTCCTTTTACTTTCCTTTTGTGTCTGTCCATTTTTTCTCTTTTTTACTTTCTTCTGTCTTTGTGCCCTGCTGTCTATGCATATAACCACCAACAAACCGAAAACGTGCTTGCTGTGCATTGCTGCTTTTGTGCCTCTTCGAGAGTGGAGGCCAAAGAGTCCGTACAGAGCTCTGTGTCATAGAAGAATCATTTGGCTCTGAGAAGAGTCTTGAGCAGTAATAACATTCTTGGACTTAGCAGTATCTGTTTTAAACTCCCAAGAACTCTTTGGTAATATTTTTGACTTTTTTGTGGAGGACTGAAATTTCTAAGTGATTGATTTTAAGATAAATAAGATGTTACAGTATAATAACAGTTTTCTTAAATAATTGGTTTCTCTGTGTGTGTCTTCTGTTTTGTTTTGTTTTTGTTTGTTTTAAATTCAAGGGTGGATATTTTAGTGTGAATCTGAATGAAGAAATTTTGCGAAGAGGCCTGGGTAAAACTGTTCTTGTCAAAGGCCTGAATTACGATTCCAGAACTCACTGGAAAATTCACAGAAAATTACTTAAAGCTGAATTAGCAGCTATAAGAAAAGGAGAAGGAATATGGAAGGAAGACTCTGAAAAGGAAAGTTATTTGGAAAAATTCAAAGAGATGTGGAAGAAAGAAAATTTAAAAGCAACTGGACCAGATTTCAACCTGACAAAAGGAAGTTATTATGACAAATTTAGAAGAACTTATGAAACGTGGAAAGACAACATGAGTAACTACTCCTTAATACTGAAATTCAGAGAACTTCTGAGTCGCTTACATTTTCGTAGGAAAGGGTGATATAGCCAAGAGGTCTAGAGGTGCCTCCTCTGAGAGTAAAATATGTAAACATGGGCATTTCTCATTGAGTCCACATGGAAATTTCCACAAATGATCAAAGTTGCGTTCTAATGGTATTAAACATTAAAAAGATTATGATTAGTGTAATATCAGAATTAACTTAAATAAAGGTTAATGCAACATGCTTTTAGGAATAATGAAATACTATAAAAAATTGCCAGAACTGGACTTGGTGGCACATAATCCAGGCACTCTGGGAGGCTGAGGCAGGAGGGTCACAAGTTAGATCCCAGCCTGGGCAATTTAGAGACATAGTGAGACTGTCTCAAAATTTAAAAAAAGGACTAAGAAGCAGCTCGGTGTGAAGGCCCTGGGCTCAGTCCTCAGTGCTCCACCCTGCTCCTCACCAGGCTGTTTCAAGAGAAAATCTTAAGAGTTCGGCATTGTATTACACAGTTTTGAGCAGCTGTACTTAATTTTTGCTCAAAGAGAATATTTGCTTTTCCAATTTTATCAGCTTTCATTATTTATAATAAAGGAATTATTTATACTCTATGTCTGAGGTGGTGCTTTTCTCCCAGCTGATTTCTGTGCTTGCGGCTTGGGGCAGTACTACAGGAGGGCATAGACCGCTCCTGGTGCTGAAGAAGGGCTCGTTTTGTCCTGTGGGTAGACCAGGGCATCGTCCCGAGGGTGCTAACCTGCAGAGGAAGTGCCTGCGGAAGGGAGGAACTGATGCCCTACTGCTTCTGCTCAGGGAGCCCAGTGGACCAGGCTCCGCCGTGCGGCCCAGAATCCCAGTCAAGGAGAGGAGCCGTACCGAGGGCAGGAAAGGAGCTGTAATCAGAGCCACGCTGAGAAGCACAGACACAGGGTCAAAATCTGTCTTTGAAGGGCTGACAGAGCTTTCTTACAGCTACGGCAAGGTTTGCGTAGCTGGCAGAGTGGGTAACCCTGGTCCTGTCAAGGACTGGTTGATCGTCTCTCAGGACTGGTTCTGAGAATCTGGCAGAACTCATCACTTGAGGGGAAAACGCAACGCCTGCTTTGGGAGGCAGCTCTGGTTCCTGTCCTGCGATAACTGGTCTGTGAGGCTCCGCTTTTCCCAGAGCGAGATGTAACTGCAGGTTCAGGACAGTGACTCGAGACTTTTAGGTGCCACCCCAGAGGGTCTGGACCGGATGTTATAAAAGCTGGAAACTGGATGTTCCTGCAAATCCTGGAAATTACTTAGTTAAACTTATCTCGATGTCCTCCGTCTTGAAGGGGGATGAGACAGGCTGAGTAATTAGGTCTATGAGTAAATTAGGTCTAATAAACCTTTATTACAGACACGAAGTGATTAGCGTGGCTGAGCAGGGATCTGACCTAGAGTTTGAGGTGATAAAGGAGGAGGCAGATAAGGCAGAACTTCATCCTGCTTTTAGTCACCCACTGGGCGTCTGCAGGCACAGCCTCTAGGTCCGTGCTACTCTAGGACATCTCGGAGCCCGGGAAGTAGCCAGAATTTGAACTTCCTGCTTCCTTGTTTTCTTGTTTTGGTAGTGCTGGGGATCAAGCCCAGGGCCTTGCTCATGGTAGGCAAGTGCTCTACCCATCAGTGGTAGCCTCAGCCCCCTCAATTTCTTTCTTACTTGTATTTATTTGTTTATGATTTTTTCAAGACAGGGTCTCACTGTGTACTGAAGGCTGCCCTTGAACTCATAGCAATCCTCCTGCCTCAGCCTTTCGAGTGCTGGGATTACAGGCATGTGCCACCATACCCAGCTTCAGTTTCTTTTTATGTGAGGTTATAATTGTTTTAAAGCCAATTTGAGTTTGCTGAAGAATTTGATATGCACAGAAACTTGGTGCTCAAATCATTCTGACACTAAACTTTTTTTTTTTCCAAGGCCACTAATAATCCACTAACAATCACAAAATCTATAGAAGTTGTTTTTTTAAAAAAACGACTTGTAGGTAGACATGGTTATACATATCTGGAATCTTAGCACTTGGGAGGCTGAGGCACAAGGGTCACAAATTTGAGCCTGTTCTAGACAGTTTAGGGGAAGCCTGGACTATATAGTGAGACCATGACTCAAAGAAAAAAAAATTGGTGTTACTAAGAAAAGTAAACATTGGGTCCAGATAGATGATTTCTGTTAGAGTCCTGTAGTATTGGATGACTTTACTGCTGCTACCTAACTCCTTGTTAAAGTAAGAGGAGTGGACATGCTGGCGCACACCTGTAATCCTAGCACTGGGGAGGCTGAAGCAGAAGGATGACAGTGAGTTCGAGAGCAGCCTGGGCACATAGTGAGTTCAAGGCCGGCCTGAACTATATGGCAAGACCCTGTCTTAAACAAGCATCAGGATTCTTCTACCTTTAGAAATTAAACAGTACTAATTTTCAGTGAGTTTACAAATATTCAAAACAAAGGTTTTATATATAAATGTGGTTTTATATTTTCACCTTTGTGGTAGGAAAGGAAGTTTTATCTTTTATTTCTGGGTTCCAATGCCACAATACTTCTTTTGTGTTAAAGGGTTGTTTTATTGATATTTATAGAGAAATGAGCAGCATACATTTTCAAATTTTTTTTTTATTATTTTTATTGGAATATTTTAGATATACATAATGATAACATTCATTATAGGAAATTTGTACCTGTATTTACATGACATATCTTGCTTCTTTTTTTCCCATTCCTCTCCCCTCCCTTTAAACCCTCTTCCCCTCCTTACTAACAAAGCTTTCATTCCATTTTTCCCCCACTATTCTCTTTTTTCTTATCCCTTCCATCCTTTCCCCTCCTTTGTTTCCCTTCACATTTAAACATTTTCTTCCCATTTCCCAATACCTGTTACACCTTTTGGTCTTTACTTACACTTCCAGGTTCTCACACCAGAGAAGCAATGAGGTATTTAAACATGCGTATCTGATTTATTTCACTTAAGAGTATGGTCTCAAGGTGCACCCATTTAACTAGAAATGTCTCAAGTTTATCCTTCTTTATGACTTAGTAGTACTCCATTGTATAAAATCACATCTTAATCCATTCATTGGTTAATGGGCATTTGAGCTGTTTCTAAGAGTTAGCTATTACAAACTATGCCATTATAAACACGATTATGCATGTATTGCTACGGTATGATGCTTTTAATTCTTTTGGGAAGATATCAAGAAGGGGAATAGCTGGGTCAAATGGAAACTCTCGTTTTAGGTTTTTGAGGACTCTCCACACTGATTTCCCCAGTGGTTACACTAGTCTACACTCCCACCAACAGCAGAAAAGGGTTCCTTTTTCCCCACAGCCCAACCAATATTTGTTATTGATTGATTTCATGATAATAGCCATTCTTTCTGGGATGAGATGGAATCTCAGCATTGTTTTAATTTGCATCTCTCAAATGACCAGTGATATTGAATATTTTTTCATATATTTATTTGCTGCTTGTACTTCATCTGAGAAGCATCTCTTCATTTCAGATACCCATTTTTGAATTGGGTATTAAATTTGGGGGGTTCTGATTTTTTTTGAGTTCTTTATGTTTGAGGAATGGCTGGCAAAATTTTTTTCCCACACTTTGGGTTGTCTCTTCATTCTGTTGCTGGTTTCTTTTGCTGTGCAGAAGCTTGAAGAATTTTATAAGATGAAATTCCAGTTGTTGACTCTGTAATATTTCCTGTGCAATCAGGTTTTGTCCATAGTGTTTGCCTAACCAGTGTCTTCAAGAGTCTACCTATTCTATCTTCCAGCAGATTTAGTGTTTCTGTTTGAATATTTAGATCTTTGATCCATTTTTATTTTAGTTTAGTGCATGGTGAAAGATATGGGTCCGTTTTAATTTTCAGCATGTGGAAAGCTAGTTTTTCCAGCACCATTTATTAAAGAGGCCACCTTTCTTCCACTGAAGGTGTTTGGCGCCATTGTCAAAGATAAGGCGGTTAAGCGTGTTTAGAGTTGTTTTTGTATCTTTTAATCTGTTCCATTGATTCTTGGGTCTGTTTTTTGCCAGTACCCATGCTGTTTTTTTTAATCACAGTAGCTTTGTAGTGTAATTTCAAGTCAGGGATTGTGATGCCTCCTGTCTTGCCTTTATAGTCAAGAATTGTTTTTGATATTCTAGGTCACTTCTGGTTCCAGATGAACCATTAGGGAGACTGGCCTATAGTTCCCTTTTTTAGGATTGTTTTCTCTGATTCTGTGAGATATGCTACTGGTATTTTAATTGGGATTGTATTAGATCTGTATAACAATTTTTTGTTTGTTTGTTTTTGAGACTGGCCTTGAACTCACAGTGATCCTCCTGCTTCAGCCTCTCTAGTGCTGGGATTACAGATGTGGGCCACCACACCCGACAGCGTTTTTGGAAGTATGGCCATTTTCACTGTATTAGTTCTTCCTACACAACAGCAAAGGATATCTTTCCATTTTCTGATACCCTCTTCAATCTCCTTTTTCAGAGTACTGTGGTTTTCAATGTAGAGGTCTTTTGCATCCTTCATAAGACTGATTCTTAGGTATTTCATTTTTGGGGATGCTATTGAGAAAGGTGTTACTTTCCTAATTTCTCTCTCAGTGAGTTTGTTACTTGTGTTACAGAAATGCTATTGATTTTTGAGTGTTGACTTTATATCCTATACTATTGAATTTGATTATTAAATCTAGGAGTCTTTTGATGTTTTTTGTTTGTTTGTTTTGTTTTTTTTCCGGTACCAGGAACTGAACTCATGACCTTGCACTTGCCAGGCAGGCATTGTACCGCTGAGCTAAATCCCCAGCCCCTAGGAGTCTTTTGATGGACTTTTTGGTGTCTTCTATGTAGAGTATCATGTCATCTGCAAATAATGATAATTTAACTTCCTGCTTTCCTATCCTTATTCCTTTTATTTCTCTCTCTTGTCTAATTGCTCTAGCTAATGTTTCCAGAACTATATTGAATAGGAGTAGTGATAGTGGACATCCTTGTCTTGTTCCTAATTTTAGGGCAAAAGGTTTCAGTTTTTATCTTATTTAGTATGATGTTGGCTCTTGGTTTGCCATAAATGGCTTTTATCAGATTGAGATAAAGGCCATTTATTCCAATTTTCTGTAGTTTTTTTTTTAATCAAGAATGGGTGTTGGGCTTTGTGAAGTACTTTTTCTGCATCTATTGAGATGATCATATAGCTTTTTTTTTTTTTTTTTTTTTTTTTTTTTTTTGGTTTTTCTCCCGTACCGGGAACCGAACTCACGACCTTGCGCTTGCCAGGCAGGCGCTTTGCCACTGAGCTAAATCCCCAGCCCCAAATATCTCAACTACTGGTTTTTTTGTTTGTTTGTTTTGTTTTGTTTTGTTTTGTTTTTTGTTTTTTTCTCCGGTACCGGGAACCGAACTCACGACCTTGCGCTTGCCAGGCAGGCGCTTTTGCCGCTGAGCTAAATCCCCAGCCCTGAGATGATCATATAGCTTTGTCCTTGGTTCTGTTAGTATGGTGTATTATACTTACTGACTTGCGTATGTTAAACCATCTCTGCATACCTAGGATGAATCCAGTTTGGTCGTGATGTATAATCTTCTTGATGATT